GCAGGCTTGCTCCTGAACTGATGCTTTCTGTGTCTTTTCACACACGGAGTGTGGCTCAGCCCTACCTCTGTTCTCTCCTCAATGGCTCTCACTGCTGCCTCAGCCAATGAGAATTGAGAGAACTGGGAGAGCCGAGGCTCCCCTGCACATTGCTGGATCATATTGATTTTAAGTAAGTTTTAGGGGGCCTGGGGGAGCTGCACATTGAAGGTTTTTCACCTTCATGCATAGAACGCATGCAGGTAAAAAACCTTGAGTCCTTAGAACCGCTTTAAGCTGGCCAGACACTATATAATTAGGTTGTACAATCTCCTTTAGATTTACCAAAACTTTGTAACATAAGGACATTGCACTGCATACTTGATGGCAGATCTAAAAGATGATTGTACAGTGTATGTCCAGCTTTAGGTGGTAAGCTCCTTGAGGGTAGTGACCAATGTAAATGTACAGTTTGTAAAGTGCTGTGTAAATTGTCAGTGCTATATGCAATGAGTAAAATAAGTATTGAACACGTCACCATTTTTCTCAGTAAATATATTTCTAAAGGTGCTATTGACATAAAATTTTCACCTCATATCGGTACCAATCCATGCAATCCACACATACAAAGAAACCAAAACAAATAAATTCAGAAAATAAGTTTCAAGCAAACTAATGCTTGCAAAAAAAAGATTTAATATTGTATTATTGATTACAGAACTGCATTAACCACTTCCCGTCCGGCCCATGTATATAAACGGCCGGACGGGAGCAGTGCAGGGCCATTTATAAATGTCCTCCCCGCTCACTGCTTGTGCGCGCTCCCTGGGAGCGCGCGCAGCACCGCAATTCGGTGCCCACGGAATACCGATCGTTGTACGGGACCTCTGTGTGACGTCCCGATTATGTGATCTCTGATTGGACAATCAGTGTTCACATGAAGAGTAGTAAGCAAGATGTTACTTCTGACATCATTGCTTACCACGTGTGAAATCTGTGAATGATCACAGAGGTCACATGGTACAAGGCTATTCACAACAGCCTTGTACCATGTGACAAGCTGTGACCAATCACAGTTCACACAGTATTTCTCAATGGCTGCAAAAATGCAGCCAGAGAGAAGGAGAAATGATTGCTTTTACAGCCTTTATGGGTGTAAAAGCAATCAGTGTAAAAAAAAAAAAAAAAAATCTTCATCACCCCCCACAAGTAGTACAATGTCACTATGGTGACAATGTACTGCTAGGGTGACAGTATGTAAAAAAAAAAAGTCATAATAATATAAAAAAATAAAAGAAAAATGTAAAAGAAATTTAAAAAATTATAATTTTTGGTTATAAACTAATTTGGGTTATTTTTTTTTTTTTTACTAGAAAGATAACCAAATAAATGTTGGCCAAGATTTATGATGAAATATTATTTATTTGCAAAATTGTATAAGAAAAAATTTTTTTCAAAATTTTTGGACTTTTTTATTTATATAGCAAAAAGAAGAATAAAATACAGTGGTGAATAAATACCACCAAAATAAAGCTTTATCTGTCTCAAAAAAATGCTAAAAAAGTCATATGGGTACAGTGTTGCATGACCGTGTAATTGTCATTCAAAGTTTGACAGCGCTGAAAGATGAAAATTGGCCTGGACTGGAAGGGGGTAAAAGTGTCCGGTCTTGAAGTGGTTAAGGAGATTCACCCTCTTTATTTCTCCTGTTTACCATTATCACTGAAAATAAAATAAAATCCTAAATTTGTTAATTAATAAGTATGTAGAAAAAAATCATAAATAATAATATAAAAAAATAAAAGAAAAATGTAAAAGAAAAATTTTAAAAATTATAATTTTTGGTCATAAACTAATTTGGGTTATTTTTTTTTACTAAAAAGATAACCAAATAAATGTTGGCCAAGATTTATGATGAAATATTATTTATTTGCAAAATTGTATAAGAAAATTTTTTTTTTCTAAATTTTTGGACTTTTTTATTTATATAGCAAAAACGAAAATAAAATACAGTGGTGAATAAATACCACCAAAATAAAGCTTTATCTGTCTCAAAAAATGCTAAAAGATTCATTTGGGTACAGTGGTGCATGACTGCGCAATTGTCATTCAAAGTGTGATAGCGCTGAAAGCTGAAAATTGGCCTGGACAGGAAGGGGGTGAAAGTGTCCGGACTGGAAGTGGTTAATGTGTGAAGTTGCATAAAAATTCCCAAAAACTTCCAAAGCAACAGATGGACGCTTACTTTTCAAAGGCGATGTCAACGCACTTGTAGTCTATTGATACTTCCTCCAGCTCTGGAATTTGGTATAGACCCGGAGCTGGACGAATGGTCTGCAGGAGCTGAACATATCACTTGTGTTCCATCGAAGGCAGTTGCAGTGCTTTTCAGGATCCAATGTAAAATATAATACATGCTCAGTTTTTATCAATATGAGTGCATTTATTATTTTTTTGTAAACAGTAGAATTAACCTTTAACCTTCCATGACATAGTTCAGGGGTCCCCAAATTACTACCTGTGGGCCAAATCCGACCCACTGAAAGATTGCATATGGCCCGCAGCTAGGGTCAGGTCCGACCAGCTGCGTTGTCTTTCTCCGAGTAACCAATGAGGTGCCTGCCCCGGCAGGACAGATCTTTCTCTGCCCATACCTGCACTGCCTCCCGACGCTCACCCTGCTGCTACACTGATTACAGCTAATCTGTAAGCTAGATAGGGACACTAATGTAATTGTAGGGCTTTAATGGGGATCCTGATGTAATTGGGGAACTCTGATGGGGACCCTGATGTAACTGATGGACTCTGATGGGGACCAGGATTTAATTGTGGGGCTCCAATGGGGATCCTGATGTAACTGGGGGACTCCGATGTAATTGGGAGACTTTGATGGGGACTCTGAAGCAAGACTCTCATAAAATGGGGGCTCTGATAGGGACCCTAATGTAATTGTAGGGCTTTAATGGGGATCCTGATGTAATTGGGGAACTCTGGTGTGGACCCTGATGTAACTGAGGGATTCTGATGGGGACCCAGATGTAATTGTGGGGCTCCAATTGGGATCCTGATATAACTGGGGGACTCCAATGTAATTGGGAGACTTTGATGGGGAGTCTGAAGCAAAACTCTCATAAAATGGGGGCTCTGATAGGGACCCTAATGTAATTGTAGGGCTTTAATGGGGATCCTGATGTAATTGGGGAACTCTGGTGTGGACCCTGATGTAACTGAGGGATTCTGATGGGGACCCAGATGTAATTGTGGGGCTCCAATTGGGATCCTGATATAACTGGGGGACTCCAATGTAATTGGGAGACTTTGATGGGGAGTCTGAAGCAAAACTCTCATAAAATGGGGGCTCTGATAGGGACCCTAATGTAATTGTAGGGCTTTAATGGAGATCCTGATATAATTGGGGAACTCTGATGGGGACCCTGATGTAACTGAAGGACTCTGATGGGGACCAGGATTTAATTGTGGGGCTCCGATTGGGATCCTGATGTAACTGGGGGACTCCGATGTAATTTGGAGACTTTGATGGGGACTCTGATGTAATTGAGGGACTCCAACGAGGACCTTAATGTAAGGAGGGACTGTTATGTAAGGGAGGACTCTGATGGGGACAGCAATGTATGGGTGGCTTTGATGGGAACTCTGATTTAAGGATGAACTTGATTAAAGGGGGACTCCTCAGGCAGACTTTGATGTCGGTGAGGCTCTGGTAGGAAACCTGATATAAGTGGGACTCCATAGATGGAGCTCTGATGGGGACCCTGATGTAATTGAGGGACTCCGAGGGGACACTGATGTAACCAGGGGACTCTGACTGGGGCCCTGATCTAAGGAGGGACTCTGATGGGGACTCTGATGTAATTGAGGTACTCTGGGGGGGCACTGATGTAATTGGGGGACTCTGGTGGGGGTCCTAATCTGAGGTGAGAGTCTGATATAAGGGATACTCTAATAGAGACTCCAGTGTATGAGGAAACTTTGATGGGAATTTTAATGTAAGGGGAATCCTAATGTAACGGGGGGACTTCTAAGACAGACTCTTATATAAAGGAGACTCTGATACGGACCCTAATGATGATATAAGGAGGGACTTATAAGGTGGACTTTGATTTAGGGGACACTTTGCTTTGTTTTACTAAAGTTCTTTACCTTTTGTTCTGAATCATTACACTGATTCCTAAAAGAGTCCAAGTAAAATGTATTTACACATTTATTATTCATTTATTTATAAAACTGAGTTTTTTTTTTGCCCTTCAAATATTTAGGGTGTGGCCCTGGAACTGAAAAGTCTGAAGACCCCTACCATAGTCTGAAGCAAACGTAATACGTCTTAAAAAATGTTTTGGGTAGCATTTTCCTATAAATAATATGAATGGATATCTATCCCTCCAGGCTGAATGTCCCACCAAACCTACAGATATGTAAATCAGTGGGCGGCACAGCCCAGATGTATTGATTACATAGAGTCAGGATGTCAGAATGTTAGCTTGAGTTATAATGGAGCTTCCTGTCTTTCTCATTCCCAATGGGATCACTGGCGTGCCAAGCTGTCCTTTGTTCTGTCTTCTCAGTGATTCACTTTGATGTCATGGCTGGTCTAAAAGTTTAGTGACGCACATTCGTCTGTAAACACGCCGCTGATTATAAGCAATATCAGTTCCTCAGTAGGTGGAGCGGACTGTCTTTTACTCCATGTCATTATTGCAAGTATTCCCAAGAAAACGAATCCTAGTCACAGTTTTCATGTTGCTGGTTCTTTTCCGTCGAGGTTTTGCTTAAAGGGTCACTCCACCTAGAACAACTGTTTCAGTTTAGTTAGGGTCTTTAGGGCTGAACCATCTACCAGCTTTAAATATCTTTCAGGGACTCCCATGGTCATGTTTTAGGCACCACAGATGCTTTGGGGGTTCTTATGGCTCATTCACATGGGGGGCTAATACACCACTTTAGGTGCATATAGCGCAGGGGCGGACTGACCATTTGGAAACTCGGGCACTGCCTGAGAGCACGGGGTCAGTAGGGGGCCCCATGAGATGCCCCTGGTACCTTTTTCATAGGCTTTTTTGAGTTTGGGCAAGGACACAGGGGCCTCATGATCCCCTATTGCCCGGGGGCCCCATGAGTTGTCAGTCCGCCCCTGGTACAGCATACAGGTCCATATAGGAACTCAATTGGGCCATACACATAGCTGTGTCTACAAACAATGATGTGCACCACATTTGCGTACAAAAACATAGGATACAGCTGTGTCAGGGCCAAATGTACAGTATCTGAAGATTTTACGTGGAGTACTGTGCAAAATGTTTAAGGCAGGTGTGAAGAAATGCTGTAAAGTAGGAATGCTTTCAAAAATATATATTTTAATTGTTTATTTTTATCAATTTATAAAATGCAAAATGAACGAACAGAAGAAAAATCTAAATCACATCAATATTTGGTGTGACTACCCTCTGGGTTCAAACACACAGTAATTCTTTTAGGTGCTTGTGCACACAGGGGTTGATTTACTAAGGGAGAATAGACTGTGCACTTTGCAAAGTGCAGTTGCATTCTGCGAAAGCAGTTTCTCCATGTTTTAGTAAATGAGCAGAAGCTCTGCTGATTTCCATCATCCAATCATATGCAAGCAAAAATGCATTTTTTTTTTATTTTCCATGCACATGATTGGGTATTCAATACAAAGTGAAGCTTTACCTCATTCACTAAGCTTTGGAGCAACTGCACTTGTAGAGTGCACAGTCTATTTGCCTTTAGTAAATCTACCCCATTGTGTTTGAAGGAACTGGGCAGGTAGTTTGTACCAAATATCTTGTAAAACTAACCACAGATCTTCTGTGGATGTAGGCTGCCTCAAATCCTTTTGTCTCTTCATGTAATCCCAGACAGACTCGATGTTGTTGAGATCAGGGCTTTCTGGGGGCCAAACCATCACTTCCAGGACTCCTTGTTTTTCTATACACTGAAGATAGCTCTTAATGACCTTGGCTGTATGGTTGGGGTCATTGTCCTGCTGCAGAATAAATTTGGGGCCAAGCTCATGCCTCCTTGATGGTATGGTGTGATGGATAAGTATCTGATTGTATTTCTCAGCATTGAGGACACCGTTGTTTGGACAACGTTGAGGATTGTAGACGTAGAGGTCGGCCAAGGAAACTTAATGGAGCAGAAGAAAGACACATTATGCTTACTTCCCTTTGACATCGGAAGATGTCCAGCAGTGCCATCAGCACAGAACTGGCAGAAACCAATGGGACCTAGGTCCAACCATCTGCTGCCCAGAGAAGTGTGGTCAGAGGTGGTCTTTATGGAAGTATTGTGGCCAAAAAGCTATCCCTTCTGATGTGGAAACAAGGTTAAGCTACTCAGCCATTCACAAAAACATAGGTGTGCAGAGAAATGACAGCAGGTGCTCTGGACTAATGAGTGACCATTTTAAATATTTGGCTGCAGAAAAAGGCAATTTTGTGGGCTGGAGAGCAGCACAATAATGAGTGTCTGCAGGCAACAGTGAAGCATGGTGGAGGTTCCTTGCAAGTTTGGGGCTGCATTCTGCAAAAGGAGTTGGAGATTTGGTCAGATATTTGCTAAGAAATACAGTCAGATACTTATCCATCATGCCACACCATCAGGGAGATGTGATTGGCCCCAAATCTATTATTCAGCAGGACAACGACCCCAAACATACAGCCAATGTCATTAAGAACTACCGTATTTTTCGATACATAAGACGCACTTTTTTCCCCCCAAAAAAGGGGGGGAAATGTCAGTGCGTCTTATGGAGCGAATATGGAGTGGCCGGTCTGGTATTTCCACTGCGGCCGTGTCAGAATACCGGGCCAGCCGCTCAGCTCTGCAGCGGGACATTATGGAGATGACTGCTGACCTTTGGGGAGGTGGGGAGCGGGTACCTGAATTTGACAGGTACCCGCTCTTACTTCTTTGTTCTTTGATCTTACCTGTTCCTCTATCCAGCAGCGCGCTGTCTTCCGGCTTCTGTAGTGTGGGCACTGGGCATGACAGCCGGGTGCCAAGTGCGCATGCGCAAGAAGCGGTGCTTTTTGTGAATGGTAAGGCGGTACCTGGGACACATGACAGATCCCAGAAGCCGCCGGACCAATCACAAAGCGCAAGTGCTTCTCGCTCATGCGCACTGGGCACCCGGCTGTCATGCCGAGCGCCATTACAGAAGCCGGGAAGACAGCGCGTGGCTGGATCGAGGAACAGGTAAGATCAAACAAAAACTCTGCGGAAGTAAGAGCGGGTACCTGTCAAATTCAGGTACCCGCTCCCCACCTCCCCAAAGGTCAGCAGTCATCTGTACTGTCCGCAGTCTCTGGTCATCCCTGTGCTGTCCGCAGTCTCTGGTCATCCCTGTGCTGTCCGCAGTCTCTGGTCATCCCTGTGCTGTCCGCAGTCTCTGGTCATCTCCTGTACTGTCCGCAGTCTCTGGTCATCTCCTGTACTGTCCGCAGTCTCTGGTCATCCCCTGTACTATGTCCGCAGTCTCTGGTCATCCCTGTGCTGTCCGCAGTCTCTGGTCATCCCTGTGCTGTCCGCAGTCTCTGGTCATCCCCTGTACTATGTCCGCAGTCTCTGGTCATCCCTGTGCTGTCCGCAGTCTCTGGTCATCCCTGTGCTGTCCGCAGTCTCTGGTCATCTCCTGTACTGTCTGCAGTCCATTAGTTCAGAAATTTTTTTTTCCTGTTTTCTGCCTCTAAAACCTAGGTGTGTCTTATGGTCAGGTGCGTCTTATGGGGCGAAAAATACGGTATATTCAGTGTAAGGAAGAACCTGGAGTCCTGGAAGTGATGGTTTGGCCCCCACAGAGCCCTGATCTCAACATCATGGGGTCGTTTTGGGATTACATGAAGAAACAGAAGGATTTGAGGCAGCCTACATCCACAGACGACCTGTGGTTGGTTCTCCGAGATGTTTGGAACAACTCACCTGCCCAGCTCCTTTAAACACTGAAACTGTACCTAGAGGAATTGATGCTGTTTTGAAACCAAAGGCTGGTTACACCAAATATTGATTTGATTTGGATTTCTCTTCTGTTCATTCACTTTGCATTTTGTTAATTGATAAAAATACACTATTAACACTTCTATTTCTGAAAGCATCCTTCAGTTACAGCGTGTTTTTCACAGTTGCCTATAACGTTTGCACACTACTGTATGTAAGCACGTAAAAGCACTAATAAGAAGATCTGTATCTTAATATCGAGCATAGCTAAACTTGTATATTTTACCCAGGATTTTCTACTAGCTCTGCCAGCAAGAACCTGCATTTCATTCAAAAAATGCATGCATGCCCATGTGAATGAAGCCTTAAGACCCTGTTCACTTATTGCATAGCGAGAATATGCGTTCCCTCTCATCATTTTTGCTGTGCAATTTTCACATGATTTTGCATGTCATGCATAGAACAGCCTATCAGCTTCAATGGACTGCCGTTTGTGTATTTGTTGCCCAAAAGAAGCTCCTGATCCTTTTTGGGTGACAAGCTTATTGCTTTTTGCCCCACGATTCTATCGCAAGACAATCACGGCAAAATCGCACCACGTTTAGGGTGCCAATAAGAATAATAAGCAGAATCGTGCTGATGATGCCTTATGTAATGTAGACTGGTCCAAGACACACCCCTCATGTGATTGGACAATGAAGGAGCAGCAGCACACTGATAAGGCCATCCCTCTGCTCTTCCTTCATGTAAGTATGTGGCCCAGAGAGCTGCCCCCCCAGTCCTGTTCTGGGTACTGCTGAAAGTCAGAATTAGATACCTATGCTAGTTATATAAAAAGATACATTTAATATATAACTGGATAAAATGGTGTTTCATGCCATCAGTCATACTCATAAACTGATAAAAGAAAAACGGTTTTGAGCCAATCTGATTTTTTTTTATGTTTAGAAACGTTTGAATTGATGTTTTATACTATAAAGATACAATCTTTTATAAGCCCAGTTTCACGTCTGTGCGGATGTGGGAAAGCATTTAAATTGCAGGCATGTAAATGCAGCCGCACAGAAAACAAGGTGCTGGTAGGAAAACGTGCAGGAGAGCAACATGCGTGTGAACTGGATTATTGACGTAATATGGCCTGGTGGCCAAAACAGGTCAATGATGTCACAAGCAACTCTGCCCCTTTGTGTGCAACTGCAGGATGGGGAATCCCCTGCCAGCAGCTGATTGGCCAGGCATTATTCCCTTCTGGGTTTGGATCAAACACAAGCTCATCCTTTTTTATAAATATGCATTTATTACATGACAAAGAATTCCTAAAGCACTATGAATTTCCTATAGAGACAGTACAGTGGTATCTGCTTGCCTTGAGGCATGCTTTGTCTGAATGAAACCTCTGGTGAAAAGGCATAAGTCACTGCAATGGGCCATGTAAGTACTGTATGTGTAAATTTCAGCTTGAGCTGCTGATCTCTGTAAACAGGACATGTTACAGCAAAAGTAAAAATCACATGAAAAGGGAGCTTAAAGTATATCTAAAGCCAAGAATTACAAAAAACTCTTTTTTTTTTGGGTGGGTGGGGGGGGGGGGGTTGCAGTCTGTGTATTATTGGTGCGATTTCCCCCTACATATCAGGAAAGGAAATCCTAGAAGAGAATTCCTCTTATAGGCAGTTGTCAATGGTGCACGTGTCTCTATTAGAAGACAATTTGCAAAGCTAAATACAATTTTCCATTCCTTTCATAAAAATATTTAACATGGCTATAGGAAATGTATAGGCTAGGTTCACATATGTGCAGGTGGTGCCGCTGCGGATCCGCACAAAAATCCGTGCAGCTACACTACCCACACAGAAGAATTCGGACCCGCGGGCCGGTGCTATTAATTCTAATGACATGCTGCCTGCGCTGGAAATCACAAACGCACTGGGAACTGAGGTTCCTGTGCAGGCTGCGGTTTCCAAAGAAGTGCAGGGACTTCTTCCCTGCGTGTCCCGGGGCACGGGAGTACATTCAAATGAATGGGCTCTCGCAGGGGCGGACTGACCATTTGGAAACTCGGGCACTGCCCTAGGGCCCGGGGTCAGTAGGGGGCCCCATGAGATGCCCCTGGTTCCTTTGTCATAGGCTTT